TTTTTATTCCTAGTTTTCTATGAAAGTGTATCAGAGCCCTGAAGAATCAATGAATCACTAGTTCAAGATTCACATCATCTGGAAATCCATCTTTAAGTGATAAATCATTGCAAATTTGCTAAAATAAATAATAAAAAAGCAGACACTTTAGTCCAAAGCGACTCAGAATTGAGGAGATTCTTTAACGCAGCATGTTAATAACTCATATTCATTCATATTCATTCGGCTTAGTCCCTTATTTATCAGAGGTCACCGCAGCAGAATGAACCACCAACTATTCCAGCATATGTTTTGCGCTGCGGATGCCCTTTCAGCTGCAACCGAGTACTGGGAAAACCCCACACATCCACACTCATTCACACACTCATACACTACAGCCAATGTAGTTGATCAGTTCCCCTATAGCGCATGTGTTTGGACTGTGGGGGAAAGCGGAGCACCCGGAGGAAACTCACACCGACATGGGGAGAACATGCAAACTGAATACTGATCAGTAATATCAGGTGATCATGAGGTAAAGCAGGCCTGATATCTATTCCCGTCCTCACACTGGTGTCCCGCCGTGACCTCTCAACTCTTCAGACCCAAAGAAGACTTAATAGACTTAATAAACTGACCTGACCCTGAAAATCTCTGACCACACTGAGCTGAATCTGTCCTCTTCTGACCTCTCACATACATAAAGCACACTATATACACTGTAGATATATCTGTAATGAACTGTTTCTAATTATTGTGTTTTGTGTTTAATTACAGTGGTGAATTGCATTATGGGATGTTGATCTCTGCTCTGTCCACTTCTGATGCTGTAGGTTCAACTCTACAGTTTAACGAAGTGACTTTTATTAACATTTTAGTCGTTTAAAGCAATAATATAATGTATAATAAATAATAGTTAGAGAAATAATCTGTAAAATGTGAAGAAAATGTGCTGCAGGTTATTATAAGGTGTTTGTAGTGTAAAATACAACCCCAACACACACAATATAGCACTGTAGATTATTAAAGATGATCAGAAAAGTAACTTTTTTGAGCTTTTCAAGGTTAAAAGTTGTTGGATGAAAGATCAAGACTCAATAATGCAATTTAAAAGCAGAAATAAATAGAGGACAAATAAAAACACTAATCACAAAACACAGAAAACACACACAGATAGAAAAGAGTTGAAGTCTACTCACCTGCATGCAGCACACTCAGCATTGCACAGTGTTTTCATGATTATACGAAGGTGCATGGTGAATGTGGAGAGGAAGAGTCTTCTCAAATAACAATAACAGCCTTAATATATCAGTAAACAAAGGAGACAAAACAGGAGTGAAGTCAGCAAGCTTTATTGATTAATCTTAGTTGCGTACATCGGTTTAACATCGGTCTGACCTTTAATGGGTGATGTTATAACAAAGCAAAAGTAAACTGATGGCATTACAACAGCGTACAGTGATATTAAAGCCTTTAACTGAAGACATTTGCTGAATCCTAATTCACAAACTATCATCCTATAGTATTCGAAAAAGGAACTCATAGTATAATTGAGTGTAATATTTCCATTAGAAAATTCGAAGAGCAGACCTTTAGAACCCCTTATTGTTTCACTAGAGATTTAGTGGGTAAATATTGCTAGCACCTGATTATAATTCATGCAAGATCACATTAAATTTATATAACTATAAAAGCATTATAAGGAACAGTAGTCCATTTTAAATTGTGTGTTTAACGTATACCTGAATACATGGATTTTATTTATGGAGTTTTATTCATTCAAAAACATTACAGAAAGCAGATGGAAATATTGGCTGATGACAAATTAAGAGAATAATTCTTAGGGTGTTTCATAATTTACATAGGCTACATACCGAGACAATTATTCACTACTCTCATAAAAAGTGACACAAATCGGCTGCTATAATTTTTAAATGCGTTATTTTGATCTGGCGTTTACAACAGGTGATCACACTGTTGAGCGTGAATTCGATTAGAACTACAAATACGGAAAAAAAGGTGTAAACAAACTACAAAAATGGCGGACGCGCGGAATTGACGGTTGAGTGGAGAGGCTCGGTGAAATGTTTGATTGACTGCTAGTAATGGTAATTTGTAATATCGAACCTTCTGAATACATCTTTTTAATGTTTTTAGCAATATATTTCATCTTCAACAGCAATGTGATCTTTTAAAGACATGTTTGGTCATTAACTTCGAAATCTATAATTATCCAAACACCTGAGGAGATTTCTCTGCATGAAAGACTCGTGAATGGCAGATTAACACACAGATGAATCTACAATAAGGTAGGAAATTAAATATGGAAGAAATGAGGATGATGTGTAGAGATAACTAAGCAGCGTAACAATCCGTTAATGAGGAAATAGTTTATCTATAAGCTTCCATACTCATCTGTTAACGTTATACACCTAAATGTATTTCTTTACAAAAAAATAAGTACACACTTTTAGGACATAGTATAAGTTGGCAAATTTGTATGCAGCAATTCTCTAATTTCTAGTTATACAAACATCCCTTTAAACCACCCAACATAAAGCTAAACTAAAACAGCAAGCATTATAAACTAATGGAAAAATAGGTGAAAGCTATGTAAATGACTGCATCAATAAAATGTATGATAAATGGTTATAGGATTTAAGCAGAACAATTAAATGACTAATTACTTTGAGTAGACTATATTGATTATAAATGAGAATAAACAAAAACTGTGAAATATCTGTTTGTTTTATTAGGCATAAATGTTGCTTGTAAATCCCTACATCCCACATGACTCTAACCCAGTGCTTAATTTGTGAATTACGAGGTCCCGGAACAGATTGGGGTAACAGATCCGGCAAGCTATGGAACGGATAGGTGAGGAGGGCATTTGAGGAGGGGTATCGGTAAAATGAGGTGCTTAATCAGATTTCAGAGGATCCGGATCCGGCGTGTTATGGCACAAATTTAGCCCTGCTCTAACCCAATCTCATGGGAAAACATAACTACTGTAGGTACTGTCGAATAAATAAGTCGAAGCTGTAAAATGTATGAATTTTCAAAAGAAGACGTGCCCCCTAAACCAACTTTTCCCATGGAGTGTGGCCTAAATATAACCTACTGAAATGTACGAATGATAGTTAAGATGTGGAGTAAGATTTAATTCACAGGTTCACCTTAGTATATTAGAGTTTACTCGTACTATAAACACAATTGCCTTGAAATGAGCCCAGACGCGACTGTCAGCCCTCCCCTGATGACCTGCACTGCATTTTTACTTTCAGTGCCCCAGCACACTTATCATTAGTGCGACTGTTTCAAAGAAAACAGGAAGAGGCGTAATCTCGTTTAGTAATTTTAATACAAGAATTGTTGTGCTGTGAAGTAATATCAAATTGTTTATGGAAAGCATCGTCAATGCACCGTGATGCACAGAGATATCAAACTGAAATGAATTGATGGCATGACAATCAAAACCAAAAAGTTTCATTTTGGTTCAAATCAAGGGCATTAAATAATAAATTGTAGCAATTTTAAGCCATTTTTGTCTTACACCACACTGATGGTTCTGGTCCAAAACTCACCAAAATGCAATCATGTGACAACATCCACATCACTCATTGGGCAGGTTTGTCATTGAACATATTTCCTAAACTGCTTTTCCATTGGTCAGAATAATATATATATATATTCCTATGAAAGAGTGCTGAGAAACACAGAAATGCGCACTTTTTGCTGTTGTGCCTGTTTGAGTCTAGATCACATTATCACCACAAATGAACTGCTCCAATGTGTACTGAGATTGCTGCCTTCACACCTGCCCAAACGAACCCCACCATATAGGAAAATGAACTAAAATGCAAATCAGCTAAGCTAAACAACGCAGTTGTGAAAGCTCCACCAATGTGATCTGCTCAGGTACAAACTTGTACTTTTTGAACAGGTACTGCCCCAGTGACAGCTTTTGCAGCTTTATTTTTGAGAGTATATCATTAGAAGTTACTAGCAATGTTTGCAGGATCAAAAAGGCCTAGGTTTTTGGGCTATTATTGCCAAAATTGTACAAATAATGTTTTTCTGCAGTGTTAAAAATGTTGAAAATGTTAATGTTGAAAACTGCAGTGCACACATGCTGAGATGAACCACCAGACCTACAATCAATCCTTTTCAAATAGTAAGAAAAATTATATTTAAGAAAAAAAGAAAATAAGTTGACAGAGGTTGATAATATAGCGTAATGAGTGATCTTTTTTAAACTGGTGGCAAATTTTGGACAAAGAACATAAATTTAGATAAGTGAAGTTTCACAAACTTATTTGAAGAGGAGCATGTGATAGGACTGATCGCAGCTGGTCTCTCATCTGTTATCATTAGTAAGCCAATCGGATCGTTCCAGATGATTCCAAATAAACAGCCAATGTAGTGTTACTCCCTCATCTGCGTTTTTAATAGAATCCACCATCCAGCCCATCTCCACCTTTCCTCCTTTACCAGGGGGAGCTCTTGAGACCTACTTAATCTCGTACCCCCTTACATGCTCATTTACCAGGCGGGAGCTGTGGGCTCAATTATCTCCGAGCTTAGGGTTCTTTCCCAGCACAGTATACCAAACCTGCTAATATTATCAAGCAATATCTAAATGTGAACTCTTGAAAGGATTTTCAGCCAAATGAAATACAGAAGATCCCGGAGGGCTGGCTGATAAGTGTCATTTGAATTATTTTACATGACATAGCAAGATGATTTTCCCTTTTTTAGTTTATTCAGTTCTTCTTTAGCCCTCATCCTGAACTCCTTAATATGCATCTGCTTTTCCTCTTCAAAATCTTGCAGCTCTTGTTTTTCCTCCCAGGCTTTGTTTTGATGTTCATCTTTTATCCTCTGTATCTCTGCTTGATTTGTCAATATCATTTCCTCACACTCTTCTTCCTCTCTTTGTAATCTTTCTCTCTCCATTTTGTCTCTTCTCTTGATCTCCTCTTCTTGGTCTCGTTTCAGATCTTTTACCATTTTCTCCCATCTCTTCCTCTTCTGCTTTTGTCTCTCCTCATCCTCCTGTTTTCTTATGTCATACTCCTCTTTTCTCTCCTTCATCATCTGCTCGTAATGTTGTTTTATTTCAGATTTCTTTTCGTCAAATTCTGCCATTTTTGTTTCCTCTTCTTCTTCTATGTGTTCTTCATGTTTCGTCTGTTCTTGATCTTGTTCGTACATCTCACCTCTCTGTTGATCTTTTCTTTCTTCTTGCTGTTTTTCGTACTCCTTTCTCTGATCTTCAATCTCCTCTATCCTCAGATTATATTCCTCTGTCATCTGTTTCTCCAGATCTGCCTGTTTCTGAGCCTCCTCCTTCTGTTTCTCCAGATCTGATTTCTCTTTCTCCTCAAACTGTCTCATCAGTGTTTCTGCTCTTATAATGTATTTATTCTCCAACTTCACTCGTTCTTTTTCTGTCTTTCGCTTCTTCTCCTCCAGTCTCCTCCTCTTGTTTCTGATTTCCAGCTCGTATTTGGCTTGTAACTCTTCAACTTGAGCTTGATTTTTTCTTTTATTCTCTTCTAGTTCTTCCCTTTTATTAATACTGATCTTTATCTTCTCAAACATCTCATTAGTGAAGTGTTCAGCCTGATTTGATTGCATCATTTCTTCTATCATATTGAACAGCTCAGTAACTTGTGTCTGATCTTGTGTTTCTGCGTTGTTAAAGGCCAGGAATCTGTCTCCACATGCACTGATCAGACTCTTGAGGGTCTTCGAATATTTGCTTTTCTCCACATATTGTGTTATTGTTTGGTTTTTCAGAGTATCTGCTTTAGTGAAGAGAACAATGCTGAACTTTGCTGCTTCTGGCCCAAACATCTTCGTTATCAAGTCTAAAAGGTCTTTCTCCTCCTGGGTGATTTTCTCCAAACTCAACACAATGATGAACACATGAGGTCCAGGAGCTGACAGTGAAACACTTTCCATTATTCCTTCTACCACTTCGTCAGTTGACAATGTTGTGTCCAAGAGTCCTGGAGTATCAACAATGGATACTCTTTTACCTTCAGCTTCTCCAACTCCCTTCTGACAATTTTTGGTCATCAATTGCGAACCGGCTGCAGTGCTAAACTCTTCATTTCCGAGAATAGTGTTTCCTGTGGCAGATTTTCCTGTTCCTTTCTTACCAAAGAGCACGATTCTCAAACACTCTAGATCTGAAGCTTCACTATCTGAAAAAACGAAAAATGACAATTTATTTCGATTTTATGCATGATTATGATTTGTGAATCACTCTTAGTGCTATTTAGCATGAAAGAGATCACTGAACTGTATGAGACAAGCTGTTAGACTGCAGTGGTTCTCAAACTGTGGTACGTGTACCACTAGTGGTACGCAGGCTTCCTTCTAGTGGTACGCGGGGGAATTAAATATGTCATGTACATGCTATACACATTTCAAAATGTATCAAAAATGATGTATATAATATGCCATATATGACATACAGTATAGCCTATATTTCTGAGGTAATCTGCCACAATTTTTTTACCTTGCAGAGTTGTAGCTGCTTTACTGGGCCTACTTTGCTACTGTATTTCAATACTGCTCATTTTGGTGGTACGTGGAGAGACAATTTTTTTCTGAGGTGGTACTTGATGAAAAAAGTTTAAGAACCACTGTGTTAGAGAAAATCAAGACTTGCAAAAAAATCTGTGAAACTGAATGCTAATCCTTCTCAGAACTGAAAAAATTGTTTAGATTATTCATTCTGAAAAAAATATATTGTTTTTATTTTTTATTTTAAACCTACCTAGATATTGAATGTTTTATAAGTCTTTGTATGATTTCTGTGAGTAGTCTGAGCAGGACTAATAATTAACTAATAATTAAATTAGTTAATTATTTTAGACTTACCACTTGTACCCTGATCCTCTGGAATTTCGTTGCCATGTTCGTTATTTTTTCTTGATTCTTTTTCTTCTTCTTCTCTTTGTATTTCCAGTTGTTTCTGTCGCTCCCAGTCATCTCTATCTCTCTTCATCTCCTCTTGAATCTTTTTCTCACTATCCTCTATGTCTTGTATGTCTCTTTTCATCACTGTAATTCTTCCTTTCACGTCTTCATATTTCAACTGAAGTTCATCTTTCTCCTTCAGACTTTCACTGTATCTATCCCACATTTCCTGTTCTATCTTTCTTCTCATCTCATCCGCTTCATTTCTTTTTTGTCTTTCCTTTTCTATCTCTCTTTTCCATTTTTCTCGTTCTTGCATCATCTCATCACGTACGCTTCTCTCTTGTTCCACTTTTTCTTTGATCTCTGTTTCATATCGTTCTACTCTATCCCTAAATTCATCCACACTTCTCTTACTCCTCTGCTGTTCTTCCTTCATTATTTTCTTCATCGTTTCTTTTTCTTCTTCATGTTTCATCAAAAGCATCTTCCTTTCTTTGTTTTGTCGATCTCTCTCAATGTCTCTGAACCTCTTACAAGAGTAGTAACTCCCTCCATTTGCCTTCACCATGTTGTTGATCTTCTCCAGTAGTTCAGACACTTGCTTTTGGTCTCCAGACCGGTTATTAAAGACGTGGTATCTGTTTCCACATGCCTCAATTAGCTTCATTAAAGTCGATCCAGGACTATTTAGATAATGTTGAATGTCTTTACTATCCAGATCGTCTCCTCTGGTGAACAGCACAATGGTGAATATTAAAGAGTTTTCTCCAAATGTCTCTTGAATGAGCTTCACAGATTTTTCCTCTTCTTGAGTGAATCTTCCCAGTGAAATCAGCAGCAGAAACACGTGAGGTCCAGGCAGGATCATGGAGATGCAGTTGCTGATTTCTCTCTTGATTTCTTCATTACTGAGTTTAGTGTCAAACAGTCCTGGAGTGTCGATCACAGTGATGTGTCGGCCATTGATTTCAGCTGTTTGTTTCTGGCACACATTCGTAACAGAGCTTTGAGAGATGTCTGATTTAAATTCTTTTCTCCCTAAGATGGTGTTTCCAGTTGCACTCTTCCCAACTCCAGTTTTACCCAGAAGAACAATCCTCAGGTCATCTTCACTTTCACTTGAATCTAGAAGTGAAAATAAAAAAAAAACAGTATACTACAATTGAATATTTTAACTGTTTTTATGTTGTCAATTACAACTTGTTTTCTCCAAAGTAAACAAATTTAGTTGAATAGAAAAAAACTTTATTATTTCCTTAAATTTTCACCACAAAGGGATGATTTTGTGGGATTAACGACTGCTACCTACCACAATGGTCATAGCTCCTATTTATAATTACATATTTATTACCAAACCTAGTATTTGTACATAAGAGCTCAATCAGAAAATTCTTTCTTTTTTATGTTTGACTCTGACAGCTCCTAGTACTGAACAAACTCAGAAGATGACCCTGAAGGCTTCTAAACAGGAGTAGACCCTAGAGTGGTCTCTAAAGGCTCTTAGACAGGAGTAGGTCCTGGAGTGGACTCTGAAGGTTCCTTAACTAAAACAGATTTAAGAGTGGATTCTGAAGTCTTTCAGACTAGAACAAACCTAGGAGTGGACTCTGAAGGCTTCAGGACCAGAACAGGCTCAGAAGTAGACTTTAAAGGCACCCAACCAGAACCAACTCAGCCAGAGTGGACTCAGGGGAGGAATCTGAAGGCTCCCTAACTAAAAAACTTCTGAATCAGAAGACCCTCAGAAATAGACTCTGAAGGTTTCTGGACTAAAAGGGACTAAGGAATAAAATCTGAAGTCCTCTAAACAATAACACACTCAGAAGTGCACTCTAGAGAATCCTGAACTAGAGAATCCTCAGAACTGGGCTGAATGCTTCCAGACTAGAAGGGACCATGAAGTGGACTCTAAAGGTTACGTGGCTAGAATAGATTTAGAAGTCAACTCCGAAGGCTTTCGAACTAGAACAAACTTCAGAGTTGACTCTGAAAGTTACAGGACCTGAACGGATCCATTAAGTGGACTCTGGAGAATCCCCAACAAGGACAGGAGTGGACTGAAGGAGTGGACTCTGAAGGTTTTGGAACCAGAACCGACTTTAAAGGCTCCTAACTAAAACAAACTCAGAAGTGGACTATGAAGACTCCTGAACCAGAACAGAGTAAAAATGGACTCTAGAGACTTCTGAACTAAAAAACCTCAGAAGTGGACTATGAATACTCCTGAACCAGAACAGACTCAAAAATGGACTCTACATTTACATTTACATTTAGTCATTTAGCAGACGCTTTTATCCAAAGCGACTTACAAATGAGGACTCTAGAGACTCCTGAACTAAAAAAAATCCTCAGGAGTGGACTCTGAAGGCTTCCAGATAAGAATGGACTAATAAATGGACTCTGAAGTCACCAGAAACTGAACAGACTCAGGAGTGGACTCTGAAGGCACCCAACCAGAACAGACTCAACAAGAATGGGCTCAGGGGTGGACTGTGAAGACTCCTGATTCAGAATAGAATCAAAAGTGGATTCTAGAGAATGCTGACCCAGAGGACCCTCTGGAATGGACTCTGAAGGCTTTGGGACTAAAACAGACTCAGAAGTGTTCTGTGAATGCTCCCAAGCAGAACAGATTCAGAAGTGAGCTCTGATGGGTCCTGATATTGAACTCCTGAAGCTTCCTCAAGCTGAAACAGACTCAGGAGTGGACTCTAAAGGCTCCCTAACTAAAATGGACTCAGAAGCAGACTCTAAAGACTCCTGAACTAGAACAGACTTAGAAGAGGACTCTAGAGACTCCTAAACCAGAAGACCCTTAGGTGTGCTCTCTGAAGACTCCCTAAGCAGAACAGACTCAGAAGTGGACCCCTAAAGGCTCCTCAAACTGAAACAGTCTCCCTAGACAGAAATAGACCCTGGAGTAGGCTCTGTAGGTTACCTTCCTACAAGAAATTTAGGAGTGGACTCTGAAGGCTACAAGATCAGAACCGACTCAGGAGTGGACTCTAGAGACTTCTGAACCAGAATAGATTTAGAAGTGGTTTCTGGAGGCTTACAGACTATAAGGAAATAAGGAGTGAAGTCTAAAGGCTTTTGGACCATAATGGACTCTGATGGCTCTGATTCTCATTTTACTTCAGCATTATTCAGAAAAAGCCTTTTAGATTTGAGAAGTGAATACGAATATCATCTTAAAGTTATGGCTAGGCTTACATGGAATCTGCACGTACAGAAATCCGCAGATTTTTCACAGAATTCTGCAGATTTTTAGCTCGTCATTAATTCTGTTTATTTACTTGAGTAAATGTGTGTAAATCTATATTTATTCCGTTTTTTTTTTATTAATGACAGTGATATTATTGACTAATGTGAAAATGTTCATCTGATTTATGTACAATGCAGTTTGTACAGTCATATTTTCTGTCTTTTAGTAAAGATATTATATGAGAGACTTGCTTTGTTTACCAAATAAAGTGAATCTAATTGTATTTGAATTTTAAACATTAAATAAAAGTTGAAAATATATTACTTTTTATTTCATTTATTAAGGTTTTAGTTATGATACTCGCAAAATAATGCCACAGAAATAAGCAGATTTTTACCAAAATTCTCAGCAGAAATAGCAAAAAACATCCTCAGATTCTGTCTGTCCCTGGTTCTGGCTATCCAGATGATATAAGAGTTTTTAAGAGTTAGATAATGACTTAGATATTGTTCTACTAAAATAGCAGGTTTGACATGCTGCCCAGGGAGAGAACCCGGAGCTTGGAGATAGATGTGCCCAAGGTTCCCGACTGGTCAATGAGCATTAGGAGGGATAAGATCAGGTATTTCTCGAGAGCCCCCCGTTTATACTTTGGCTAATATGGTGGTTCTGATTGACTCAGTATGCATGTGTTAAGTGCTTGTGACTGTTATTACAGTTTGTTTATGTGCATGTTTTTAGACTGTGGGAGGAAACCGGGGGACCCAGGGAAAACCCACTCCAACAAAAGGAGAACATGCAATCTCCGCGCAGGGAGTGGTGGCTCAATTGCAACTTAAGCCTTTGGCCCTCCTGCTGCGAGGAAGCAGCGCTAGCCAATGAGCCTTCATGTTGCCTGATTATTGAATGAGGAAGAGGGAGAAGGGAAGGATAAAGGGGGGAAGTTTCCAAAAATGAAGATAGGCAATGAAGTTTAGGCAGGATATTTATAGTAGTTTTAGAATGATCTGATTGCTAATTATTAGCGATAAGGATCAACTGTAGTAGATCATATCATGTGCTCCTTTCGAAATTAGTTTGTGAAACTTCACTTGTTTACTGCTAAAGCCCGAGACTGTGGTGCTATTTACTGATGCTACCTGCACAAGGCAGGAGTGCAAACGGTGTGAGAGGAGACAGAAATGCAGTAAGCAAGGCTTCCATAACTCATGCTCTCCAATATTTGCACTCTAAAGTCTTCATTCAACTCAGTCTATCTATAAAGCATGAGACAAGGGATAGCTGTGTGTTTATTCTGACTGGAACTGCAAATGAACAAAATCCCAGACCCAGCCATTTAGCTGCATGAACTAACACACTTCAGAGTGGATACAAATTCATCACTGTCCATTGTACGAATGAAATTTCTGGTTCATCTTAGACCTTAGACCTGCCATCATGTAACAGGTTCCCCAGTACTAAGTTTGTCAGAGTCCTAGAGTCTCTTGTCCAAGAGTTATGACAATGAGAAAAATATCTATAAACAAAATATGCTTTAGCTCCCCCAAGACCCAACCCATTAGATCCACAAAGGTAGAGATGGGCTAGTTCAGTTTCTACTTATTGGACCCATTTGACTCTATGGTGAGCACCATTTAAATTTTCGGCCTTACTTTCATTTTAAAAACAAAGCAATTAGGAGCCTTACTGACATACTGACATAAAAATTGGAACAGCATAACATGCTTTTGTTGTTTCATTTAAATGATTAATGATTGCAATGTTTGTTATGTTTTGGAAGGATTTGTTCTTAATTTTACAAGTGCAAATAACAAATTTCATGCAGTAGGAATGTTACTGATGCAGTAGAATTTGGTTAACTTTTCGCTTTTTTAAACACTGAAGTGTTATAAAGACTACTGTTAATCACCTATGTGGCCAGAGAATACTCTCGAATAACGTGAATAATTATTACCTTGTGACTGAAACAATGTCTCTAACTTGTGGATTGTTCTCTTCATTTCATCATGCTTGAGCAGTTTCTCCATCTGCAGCTCCAGAAATGTCTCTGTGGAGAAAACCTGTCCTTTGTTTTCTTCCACCATCTGCTCAATCTTCTCCATTAATGTGGACACTGGTGTGTTTGGGCTGATGAAATAATGTTGTTCTCCAAAACTCTGAATAACAGCCTGAGTTTCTTCACTGAGTTCTGCTGTATGAAGCTCTGAGTCCTGCTGTATGAGGATCATCATGTGCTTGTTGAGTCTGGAGCTGAATATCTTCTGCATCTTCTCCATTTCTGCTCTGTCTTCATTATTGAGAGGAGCTTCTTCAGGAATGATGAGGATGAAGAGATGAACTCCAGGCTGGCAGAGAGACACACAGCGGAGCGTCTGACGCATCACTTCCTCCTCTGAGAGATTAATGAGAGCTGGAAACTCCATTACATTAATCAGACGACCATGAAGATCCAGGTCTCTTTTCGTGAACTCTGAACTGACCACAGATCCTCTCGTGCTCTCACTCAAAAACAGCTCTGATAAGGAGGACTTTAATTTTCTGTTACTCCCACACAGAACTAGGTTCAGCTTCACACTCTCTGCAATAAATGTGTTTAACAATGAGAGTCAGTGTATATTATGTGGACATATTACTGTACTGTCACAAAGGCTATTTAAAAAGAGAAAATGAACTCACCCAGTGTGTTGATCTTTTGCTGTAACTCTCGGATTTCACCGTCTTTCTCACTCAGCTTTGCCCCTAGTTCATGTCTGGCTCTCATAAGTGTCTGAAGTGAATAGGGTTCAGTTTTCATGTTGTCTGTATATTGTAGCAGCTCTGAGATCTGTTCAGTGTTTCTGTGGTCTTTTAAACCCATTACACGATACCAGCATCCGTAGAGACTCACAATCCTCTGAGATTCCTCTGATAACTGAAACTCTGATGGACTTTGGTTGACGGTGTGTTCAGTAATGAAAAGCACTACAAAGTGCTCTTTTGAATAAAACGTTCTGTGGATCTTCTCCATTTCTGCTCTGTCTTCTTTAGTGAGTGGAGTGACAGGAGTGACGAGGATGAACAGATCAACTCCAGGATCACACAGATATAGACAGTTGAGCGTCTCCTGTGTCATTTCCTCTTCTGAGAGCTGATTGAGTGCTGGAAGCTTCACTACACTGATCTCCCGCCCATCAAACTTCCCACCCTTCTTCACACACTCATTACTTCTGTCTTTTTGGAGAATATGCCCTTTTATTTTCTTTGGTTTATTCAGTGTCCCTCTGAACACTTTAGACACTGAGCTCTTAAGTGTTGTATTATTCCCACAAAGGACAACATTGAGCTTTCCTTTTCCAGAAGAAGTCAATGAAAACAATTGTTTGAGACAGTTATCAAATCTTGGTTCAAATGTGGACTTCTTAAAATCTCAACAAATATTATATTGCAAAATGCTTTAGGTGAAAAGCCTTTAGAGGGAAATGGTTGCAAAATAAATAAAAGATGGAAGAAAAAAAAACTATTTTTCAAATCTTTTGCATTTTTTTCTCAAGACTTTTGAGTTTCTCTGAGATTTTTTTAGTTCAGCTTGCAAAGATATTTGCAATACAAACTATCAAGCTCCACAGACCCTGTAAGCACTCATCTGTCTGCTGTTTAGCTTATTTTCTTTCTTGTGTGTCTGTGATGCGCACTGCTCTGCAGAACGAGTCTTCATGCAAGAACAACCACTCTCCACACAGAGTTGCTATAGCCACCAGTCCCACCCCAGGGTTACCCGAACTGCCATTCTTCATGTTAGAGGTCCCAGATCCACCAGTCACCACATCAGAGCTTCCAGTCTCCATGACAAATTTACCAGAGGTGCCAGTCTCAATGACAGAGCTTCCAGTCTCCACACCAGAGTAACCAGAGCTGCCAGTCTTCACAGATGCCAGAGCCTTAAATATCTATGTCAGAGCTGCCAGACCAACCAGTGTCCATGCAAGAGTTGGCAGAGCTGCCAGTCTCTACACCAGTCCTGTTGCCAGAGCCTACAGATCCAGATGAAGAACTGCCAGATCCAGAGCCTGCTTCATCATGGTGGTACTCAGAAAAACAAAGGTCATGAATCCAGTTTCTTCTTGCTCTCCTGTCTCACTACCTCCACCTTGGTGGCCAGACCAGACATTTGGATCCAGATTTCCAGAGATTTTGACTATCCAGACCCCATTCACTTTCATGAACCTGACACCCCGTTTCTCCCTTTACTCTTTGTTTTGTACTATCTGGAAGCTGAATGCAATTTTTCATTTTGTTTTTTTTGCAAGGGAATACAAAGTTTCCCAGGGGAATGGCAGAATATTTATGAGAGGATGCAAAAAAATTGAAAAATATTTTAGTGTACCTAGTTTCTTCTGCTGTCAATAACATTTAAAGGAAAGAAAAATAGCAGGCCATGAAATAGTCTATGATATCCTATACTAAAAAAATACTTTGACTCACCCTCATCATCGCTTCCTGTTTTTGTGCTTTCAATGAGTTTTCCACGACATCTATTGTCTGATTTCTCTGGCTCTGCGTCCACTGATGTTCCAACAACTCCATGTCCATACATGTCACAGATGACAAATTCTTCATGCCTTTCAATGAGAATTTTCTCGATCATTTTCAACAACCTAGAGTAATAATCTAGTGTACTGTCAAACTTTACATGTCTTCCATTACACACCTTTATTAAACTATAAACAGCACTATTCATTACATAAGAAGAAAATTTGGCAGTGCGTGTCTCTTCATCAGTGGTCAGCACTATAGTGTGTTTGATGGCCTTCTGACTGAAAAGGTTCAGAACATTTTCAACTCTGTGTTTGTCCTGCTTAGTGAAGTCTTTATACTGCAGTACGAGTATGAACACATGAGGACCTGGAGCAAACTGTTCCATGTAGATGCTAACTCTATTTGTGAACTGCTGCTGTGGGGGATCAACCTGGAGCAGGTTTGGCATGTTGAAGACTCTGATGTTTCTCTCCTGTCCATTAATTCCGGTCTGCCGGACATGAGATGAAGCTCCGCTGTCATACACTGCTGCTGCTCCTCTCTTGATGACGTTTTCCACTCGGCTGTTTTCTGATCCATTCTTCCCAATCAGAACAATCCTCAGCTCACTCACTGAAAAACAGCAGAACATAAACTCAAATAAACTAATTATCATTTCACTGAAAACTAAGGCGATGATTTGGCTCTTAATTGCACAGTGACAGGCACCTGATTTCCTTGTGGAGCCAAAAATCAGAATGTATGTACACTCAGATCTCCCCTCTTTCCACAGGAACTATCAAAATTACATTCCATGCAATAAAACCATAAATGTTCTACATTTGAAAAGAGGACCTCTGAAACTAACTTGTTTGGCTCAGATCACTTCCATTCATGCAAAATGACACAGAATATCCATTCTTCATGTGGTGCGCTTCTTGTGAAGTGATAATTTAACATTTTTTTGATTTTTGGTATCAATTTAAATGTATTTGTCAGGGTTGGTGAGGGGAAAGGACGAGGACACAAATGCAGAAACTAAAGATGGGTATTTTATTGGCTTAGTCCCTGATTTATCAGGGGTCACCACCAGTGTTGGGAAGAAAAGTTTGAAAGTAATGCATTGCAATATTGAGTTACTCCCCCAAAAAGTAACTAATTGCATTAATTTGTTATTTTTATGGTAAGTTATGCATAATGTAAATTTTGCACTTCCTTTTATACCTTTGCTGAGGCTTGATCTATTTCAGAACTTTTGGGCTAAACTTTTTTTAAACAAAGGAGCTCTGCAATTAACAACGCAATGCGTAACCTTCATTTACCTTTTTAAAAAAACACATTAAAAGTATAATGTAGGATAATGTTATCTTCGGAGAACTTCCTGAGCCCAGAGCTCTACATGCCGTTTATACAGATTAATAAAAGTTTAAAGCAATGTCTTTGCTACTTTTGTACATTAAATTTTATTTGTGAAGGAATATCCCTCTCATGAGACTATACTCCCCTTTGGTCATATTCTCAGCTATTGTTTGTTTTTCTTTTTCTCCATATGATGTCGCCACTCCCCCCATGGGGGGGATTTCGTCAGAATCCAATCATCTGAAAGATAATAAAATGGGCCAATGAAATGCAAATGAGTTGGCGGCATCAGCTCGCCCAGCTGCCGTCAATTACAATTAATGTTGCATAAAGATGCCACTCGTGCCATGCCAAGAACGAGAAAGCAGGCTGCTTCTCCTGGTCCAGAGTGTGTGATATGCGGTGGCAGATGGTCGAGCTGGGTTTCATGCCTGGCATTCTTTGCGTCCGGTCCCCTAGAGCGGAACATTTTTCTAAAAGAGCAACACGGTTCTGCAGCGCGTTTTTCAACCACCATGCGGTGGTTCCCTGTCCCTGGATGGGCATGAGCACTGCATTTCATCTCTGGGGGTTCAGTATGTTGATGCGGTGCTAGCAGGCAGTGCACTCAGGCAGATCTAAGGGTCACAGTGGGAGTAAATGCACCATCCTCAGGCTCGCGGACCTCTCGCTCCTTCATGTGCTCCCTCCAAGCTTTGAGTGAGAGAAGCGCTCCGTCCTTGGATGGTCTCAGATGTCTATTGCTGCATCGGGCGGTGGACTGTCATTGTCTGATGAGAATTCGAACCCGCTCCCCCTCTCCAGGGTGGTGAGCATGGCATCGGATCTAGAAGCAGACATGATGGCTGTGCTTTCCCGGGATGCTTTGGTCATGATTTATCCCCCACCCCTGTGGCCGGACTAACTAGATGGGTGTTATGTGGAGAATATAAAGAAGGCAAGATCTAAAGCCTGGATTATACTTCTGCGTCAAGTGACTGGTGTAACCAATGGCGTATACAACGCATGTAGCTATGCATTTATACTTCTGCTGCTGTCTCTGTTGGTCTGCATTAACACTTCCAAAACACTAGGGGGCAGTGAGGTGTTAATGTTTCTGTCGAGTTTCTTCGCCTGTGTTTTGTTGTACATGTACAAGTGGCTCAAACTCGCTCATTTTGAGGCAGGAACCGGCGGACGTGCAACAACTTTAACTATGAGGTAAACACAAAACAAAACTTTCCATCAGGAGCTCCTTCACGGGACTCCACACTTGTAAACATTCGCTCCATTGGGCTCGCGCGACTCTCTGTCCCGCCCAGACTCGTCAGCGCTACTAAGCCGACCAATCACAGTAAGACCACTTTCCCTGCCGAGCCATCCACATCCACTGCTTCTCGCTGAGGGCGCCCGTCAGCTGCTTCTAGATCTGCTCCACCAGCCCCGCCTGTGTAACCCTTCTTAGTTCATATGTTCTTCTTTTTTTCTAGTCATGATCACGCAAAAGCGGTTTGGCTGAGCACATTCACTTTTTAGTGTTCACTGGAAAAGACAGAGCACCACACAGGCAGTAAGTATTACTGGTCCATTCACAAAATCTGTTAGAAAATAATACACAATGAATCATACGAATATATGAAATCAGTAGGAGAGTGGGATCATTTTTCACCTACCATCATTCTCAACAGCTTAAGTGAACTGACAAAATGGCTGGCTGACTTCACTCATTATACCCCCTTTCTCACCTGTAGATGTCTATCTCTTTCCAAGATGTGTTATACACCTTGACAATGAACATAGGATTTTCATTTAATTAGAACAAATATGTTTAACCAAAAACAAGCCTTTTGACACGATTCACACTTAATTTATAGTTTCATTTTTTCACCCGTTACACAGACACAGGACAGTAAACATGAGGAAGATTTAAAGGAGAAAAATCAATAAACACAGGTGAACAGAACAAAATAATAATGGGATAACAAAGTGGAAGGGACTAGACAATAGACAGGAGAGCACGTGGCACAAAGAGACACACACAGATGACATGTGCTCATGCAGCCAATAAAAAACACTCATTAATCACGTTTACTTAAAATCTTGCAAAAGCCCAAACAGGCACATTAGCTATGTCCAAATGTACATACTATCCAGCCTAAATAGTTTTCAAAAAACAAAATTATTATGTCCCAAACTGTAGTATGTTGAAAAAAGGTATGACAAAGGTTATCATGTTGGACATGACTTCATTTAGAACTACAAAGCCAGGAAAAAAAAGTGTAAACAAACTACAAACATGGCAGCTTCGCGAGACCAGCTGTCAAGTAGAGAGTTTCCACTGAGTGGTAGGGTACAATACGGTTCAGTTTGGTACGCTTTTATGGCCGTTTCCACTGTCAAAAAGCGTACTGAAGCGTACCGTACCACTTTTTTGGTACCCTGGGTACCAAAAGCTGGAGCTACACGTGCAGCTGAACGCTGATTGGTTACAGAGATACTCGTGGAGCTACACAGAACGTAAACAAAGGAACCGCCATGTTTTTTTAAAATACAAAGCCGAGAGATTACATGGAAATACTACATGCATTTAATAACCAGCCATGGATGACCTGGGCTCAAACAAACCTTGTCATCGTCTCGATGAACAGACACAAAGCCAAGAAGAAAAATCTGCCATGTCCTGTTGTTGCTTTACGAGCCTGTCTAAAAGTGCGAGCGGTATTCGCTTTCTTCCGGGAGCTCACGATCGCGTCTATATTTGAAATAATGAACTTCTTGAGCTGATGATAATAACGTGTGTGTGATTATTGAAGTGTCTCCGTCATCTGATACATTCAGGAAAAAAAGGACAAGCGCAAGAGTGAAGCGTGAGTGAAATGCGGAAAAAAAGAGAAGCCCGACAAAACAGGAGCAAAATAGTTTTAGCAACCTGAATCATAAAGAAACCGCCATGTTTATCTTCGCCTTTTGGATTATTATGAACTGGTAATGACAGAATGACTCTCTAACCAATGAACCAATGAGCCAATGAAATGTTGAGGGAGGAGTCGTCAGAAAAGCTGAACACTATTGGCTGCTTGTGTGCTGATGACATCACTGACAGCGTTTCAAGCTTTGGAGAAAGCTTTTAAAAACATCGTCAAATCAGCTGATTTATCAGCGGATTAATCACTCATCTGCAGGTTCCAGTGGATATACAGAGAGTTTTTAATTTTTGTAATTTTATAACTCTTTGAAATAAAACTAACAAATAACACCCTGCCGTTTTCTAACTATCAGTGTATTTCTTTCTTACATTGTTATTTTTTTTTATTATAAAACAGTAAAGAACTGAGCATTTCTGCCTTAAATTACCATATTGGTCTTAATGACTGCATGCATGTCTGATACTTTTCACTGACTTTAAATATGTGTGCATTTTCTTGCCTGGCAACTTCCTGCTAACATAAACAAAACTTTCTGATGGCAAAAACATCAATTTACTTCAGATATCTTTCAAAACTGAATATTCTGTGCTGTTAAATAGCTCCTGTTTGAAAGTGAAAATGAAAGCCAAGACCTTTAAGTGTTTTAGTATCTTAACTACATATTTATAGGCTGCATTACCAAAACAAATGATATTTTTAGGGTAATGGTGTCATTAAATATGATGCCAGACATTCAAAGCTTAATTTTAATATCTCAATAATAGCTTTGAATGTAAATATGTTGTGACAATATGGGGTTTTATATGAGAACGGTCAGAATGAGCAGTATGGTAATTCTAATAGTTACAGAGTTCTAGTTCCACTGTTAATATATCCTACTCTCATGCCTGTGCTAACGCAGAATGAAGCGAGTGCACTGATGCCCATTCTGACCAATCACAGATGTTTCTGCTGAGCTCCTGAACACACAGGCATTCAGCTCATGCTGATCTGCTCTCTCATTGGCTGCAGCTCGTCACTACATCTGACCACACGTGGGGTTGAGTCGGCCGACTGCTCTGGAATATTTAGCATGCTGAATGTTGGATTTCCGCGAGGTGTCGGCGACGCGTCAGCGAGCCTCGTTGATGCGTTGTTCAGTAGTTCACACATAAAGAGCGCCGAGCGCCGAGCACCCGCAGATTTCTTCCCGATCTGTCGGCGAGCTCGTTAACTTCCAAATCGGGCTCAAATCAGGCTTAAAATCCTCTAGTGTGAACAAGGCATTAGGCGGCAGAATAGAGAGGGCGGCGTCCGCGACAGCTCCCTAACCACCCGCTACCTCAGTTAGAGCAGCAGTTCAGCTTGCTCCGAACCTGATCATTAGTCATTTATATAATTATTTTATTTATTATTAGTTAATGATTTGATTATTATTTGTCCTTTAATGTTATTATATTTTATAGTCACTATTTTTCTATAATTATTGCTTTATCCTTTTTTATTTTTTCCATATCGGTATAATCTGATGACTGTGGATTCAAGCGACACCTCTTTTCATGAGTAAGAGATAAGAGAATGTCTCCATTTCAAGATCTGTGTTGTCTCTGGACAATGTTGTGAGGCAGTAATTGTCCATTGCTGTTGCTTGTGGTAAAATAACACTTGTTAGATTTATCCTGGTCAGACAAAGTCTGAGCATTGAATCATAACCAACTAGGATTATTCAATAAACTCTGCTCCTTCTTTATCATCATTACTTCGTCTTCTGCTCGTCTCTGGTTTTCTCAGTCAACTCCTATACTGATAAGAGACGTATTCAGTTGAATACTGGTTAACCAGTTTGGGCAGATCCGCTGGCTTGTTGTCTAGATACCCAGAGAAACAATTGCAGACATGATCTGGTGTCCAGGGCTAGATCTTATTTATCTGGCATGGAGAGTGTGAGCTAACACCAATGACTACAATTGTATTTGTTTTTCCTGCAATGGAAGTCAATGGTTCTACAAAATATCTTAATTCATCTTCATCTTTAACAGAAGAAAGTAACTCCCAGGTTTCTAACCAAATGACTACATACACAGCAAATTCATCAGAGTTAAATTCTTGGTGTTGAAGCATTTGAGAGTAAAGTGTTGACGTTAAAGAGTTAGATTTTGATAAATGAATATAATAAAAGTTAGAATTGATTTTATTCAGTGCGAAATCAAGGAGTTATCTTTTCAACACTTGGTGGTGTCCAACATCCGGGAATTCATGCAGCCCCAGTCACTGAAGAATTTTCCAGACGCCATTTTCCATCTGAGGTTTAGAACAGCAACTGGTGAGTCAAACTACCTAAATGTTGGTATTTTACTGACTTTCTTTAAGGAAATACAGTTGTAAACATGTTGTTAAGTTAATAACTTTAGAATGGAGTGACAATTTTAAACTTCTGCGGTTCATTCATGGTCGTTTGTGTATCTAGCTTAACTGCATTACTATTGACTTCTTTTCAAGAATGTTTTTATATATGCTCACGCATACATAGTGCATAAAAACATCAAATGTACATGTTCAACACATTTCTGTCACGCTTAATGCCATTTTGTGCGTTGTTACCCATCTGTAAAATAAAATCGTTACAGAAGTCTCCCGGAAGTTGCGGGACTAACGTTAACGTTATCCCGCAAATGCACAGAGACTCCCAGATGCCCAAGTAGATGCCCGCAAATGAATGATAATCTCCCGGAAATCGCGCGTCTCCCGCCTGGTCATTAAACACTTTGCACACCCCTCTCCACCGCATCCCTCCCAGCTCTTCAGGTACGTCGCGCGCAAGTCACCCCCACCGCTCTTTAGGTACGTCGCGCGCAACTCATCCCATTGTTCTTTAGGTACTCATCTCTCCCGCTACCTCCCGCAAATCAACTCTGTATCCCCCGAAAATGACTTTTCCCAACTCGGGATGTCTGACGTTAGTAAGTTAGGCTATTTCTGTTGTCAGGAACATCCTAGTCAAGCTTTTTCTCCCGCATGATATTGTGCTTAAAACTTTAGGCTAAACTTAGCATGTACTGTACACAACACAACTGAACACAACATTTCCGTTTTATTAGTGCGTTGTAAACAGCCACCTGTCTGTAAAATTAATCAACTGATTCATATTTGAGCAGCCTAATGATGATACAGGTTTGATTTGTAGATTTATTATCAATAATCAACATCTGAATCAAAAGATATGTGAAAAAGTGTGAGGCATACTTTGTGATGTTCATCTCTCTTTTTTTATCTGAAGGTTATGCATATGTGTTAGATACTAATGTGTTGTTGTTTTTTAACAGCCACAGTTCTCTATACAATAACACAAGACCCTGTGACGGTGGCTGATTAGACACGGATGGTGTATTTACAGAGTTGGTGAAATGACCAAGCACACCTTCTTGGTCATATGTGGTGTGATAATAATGAAGGTATGTTTAATAAAGTTCTGTATTTGTTTCACAATAAGCTGAGAGGGTATTAGAGCATTAGAGAATAACAAATGACATGAAGGTGATAAGTTTTGTATTGTGGGTGAACTGTTACTTAAATAATGTTTTGCTCTGCTTTGCACTTTTCCTCTTCTGCTTATCCTAATATTTTAGATTATATTTGGACCTGAAACATCTGCTAGACTCCAGGAAAGGTGGCGTCAATACTGGACCTGAAAGGGCCTAACAAGTTGAATCTGGTAAAGAAACACGCACACACACACACACACACACACACACACGCACGCACGCACACGCTTACAGAAAACTGTAAGTTTATGCATATTTTTTACACTGTGGCCAATATTTTGGGGAAGTCAGCATCACTAAATGATATAAAAGATTTTAAGCTCCTCTAAATTTTGCTCCAAGTGTTGTGTTAAATTCAGAATTCTGGACAGACAGCTGCCTGTTTTTCCAGTTCTAGTCATAGTGGTTAACCTAATTGTTTTTGGAGATCCAACAGTGATGTATGTGTTTTTTCTACTTTTCCATATCCTGTCACCTCAACCAGCTGGGAGATTCAAGTTGTGGATCATCATGAAGATTTTCAAAAGGTGAGTTTAGATTTCTTGAATGTTTTATTTACTTTAAATGTTCTTTCAAATATATCATAGAATTTGACTGCAATTAGTTTTCAAACATTTTTCTTAGTCATGCTGGAGTCTTGAAGAGTTCTTAGATGAGCATCACCCTATATCCGTGCATCAGGAACCACCAGACGAGCGATCAGCAGCTACTACTGTACATCGTCATGGATAAAAAGGTCATCCTGTGGCTGGGAAGCACTTCATTCACAGGACATGCTTGATGAGATTTCCTAGCTCCAGTTTGTTTTCACACAAGTTTACAGCATTTATACCTTCATTTAAACTGCTGTGTTTGATATGGAGGACCAAGAAAACACCCGAAGTGAAAGATTTGAACGCCAAATTGTTTAAAATGTAATTTCAGAAGAAAACTATGCGTTCAGAAGAAAACTATGAGTGACGATATATTAAACTTTCAAATTGCTCTGATGAAACATCAAGTTTGGACCAAAGGACTGAAACAGCCTTTTTAAAGACTGGTCATACATATGTTGTTGATACTGTCTGTACTAATAAAACATTTAAAGCATATTTGACATTGTTGCATTTTAAAAACTGAATGAATTGTTGAAGTTGTGAATGTTTTCAAATAAAATGTTTTTTATTTAGTAATTTACAGTCTATTTGACCTTTTTACCATATTTACACTCAAGAGAGTTGAATAAGATAACAATATATTACACCAGGCGGTGTTAAATATAGTTACATTTTTTAACTCTGCCCTGAGTTAAAATTAACCCTTACTTCAGTGTCAATATGCCAACCCTTTTGAAAGTGTTGATTTAACTTTGTTTTGAGTGGACCCCATGAGACACTTTCAAAGTGTTGAAATTAACACCCATAGAGTTGTTTTGAGTCCCCATATTTTGCTGTGTAGTGTATAAATTTACATCCCTTTAAGATTATTTTTACTGTCATAAACCTGTGATATGCAATCTAATGAAAATGGTTTTAAGGTAAGCATGGAATAGCTTACATCACAAGTTTTACTGCTACTTTTGTAATGATCAAAACATTGATTATTATTTTTAATCATATGAAAAACAGAAGTTTGGACCTTTTGTGTGCTAAAGATAAATGACAACCACTAAATGAATGTATTTAAAACAATAAATATTAAGTAATTAATAATACCTACCACTGAGAGAAAAAACATACGATCAGACATATAAAATAACACATTGTTCACCATTGCAAATTAAATATTTGTGCATTGAGAAATATACCATTTAAATACATAGGCACGCATATCAGGAGAATCTTTGCTTATTTTTCTGGTTAAATCAAAAGACATGCAAGATATTTGACGAGTTGTATGTAAACATATAAATATAAAGCAGACCTATTAGGTTAGCCTAGGCTACTTCCCATTTTTCAATGTCTATTTTATTGTAAGCAAGAAAAAATATACAATTTAAAGAATGAATGCCTGCTGGAGTTAGAGCACACATTGGTTTATAAGCTACAAAATACATTGCAAATATTTGTTAATCACATTTAATTCTTACCTGAGATCGACGCCATTTCACCAGCAAAGCTCTCTAGTCGAAAGTGAAAATAACAGTGGTGTAATTCGAGCTCTGACTTGTCCACACAAAGATGGAGAAAAAGAAAGTGATTCATTTTAGGGTACAGTACGTATAAAACTACATTTTAGTTTTGCATACAGTTTTGTATTTGTTAAAAACAGGCAGCAGCTAACTGATACACGTTTACAATAGACTAATTAAGGAAGTTATAAAACAAACAATGACAAAGCAGAATCATAAGGCAATATGAAAACCTTCTATCTGCTCTCGGCTGCCACCTGCTGGTCTAACTGTGTAACGTGAACAAATCATTTAAAAACGAAGCGTTTTAGCCTAAATACACGACAGACATTCAACAAACCATTTTTAGATTTCGTTTCGTTAGCCAGAAACGTGTCAAGTAAATACAACTGTTTTGAATGTCCATCTAAGTTTTCGATTGGTCAATACAAGCAAACAACAATGGCTTCAACACAAATATTGTTTTAAAAAATGAAATGTTTTAACACACACATGCAATTGAAGTCAAAGTGTTTCGCCCTCCTGTAAATTTCTATTATATTTTAAAAACATTTTCCAATTTCTGTTTAATGGAGATATTTTTTCCAGCACATTTCTAATCAATAGTTTAATAACTCATTGCTAATAACTGATTTCTTTTCTCTTTGTCATGATGACAGTAAATAATATTAGACTAGATATTCTTCAAGACACTAGTGTTCAGCTTAAAGTGGCATGTAAAGGCTTCACTAGGGTAATTAGGGTAAAGTTAGGGTAATTAGGCAAGTCATTGTATAACAGTGGTTTGTTCTGGAGACAATCCAACACTAATATTGCTTATTATTTTTAAGATCTAAATACCCATTGTGACTTTTAGTAATCGACAGATAGTCTTTCAAACTTACATTATAGACATTTATTAATAAATTAATCAAATAATCAGAACCAAAGAGAATTATTGTGATAAACCACAAAAAAAAAAAAAAAAAAAAAATCAGTCCAAGACACTCGAAAAATATAGAAAAAAATTTGAAAAGCCTTTAATCACATGGCAAAGAACTGCCTTCATTTATGCCGTAACGTGTAGGTTTTTAAAGATTAGCCATGTTATTAAAGGCTTTTAAATATTTTTTTCACATCTTTAAGTGCCTTGGACTGATTTTTGCTGTTTGTTCTGATGAATCCCTTACCCAAAAAGCACACATTACTTACAGTAAGCTACCCCTGAGCACCTTTTGTTTGATTTTGGATAGTTATTGTGAATTAACTGTGCATACATACATTTTTTTTGCCATTAGACTATAAATAGGACCTTATTAAATAAGGAGCAGAACAAGCTGATAAGTCTAATCATGTGCATTTTTATCATTATTATTATTTAATGTTATTATTAATAACTATAAGCTAACAAACTTTTTCCCTGCCAGCATTTTTAATGATATTCACCTTAATTTGACAGCTCTCAGAAGATTATCAGCTATGAATATTTGACAATATTATCTCTCAAAATAAAGAAGCAAGCCTCTGCTTTTAATCAAAACAGCATTTTATTTTATCTTCATGTGTTCATGTTTTATCACCACTTGATTTCAGACAGATTTCATCACAAATGCAACATCTTTGACAAACAAAGGGAATTTTTTTCCAAAGTAGTGCATTTTCAACATATATAACACACACACATGCAAACACAAGCAAACAGACACACAAACATATGAACACACACACACACAAACACACATATATATATATATACATATATATGCATAAAGATGCAAGTACGCCAAAGTATAGTTTCATCACTCTCTTAATGTTAATGTTAAGCAAATGTGCTTTCACTTTGTCAGATTATCTTCTATTTCACACCCAGCAGACACAGACTGAAGTATATAGTAAATGATTCAGGACCTGCATTAGGGATTCCTATACTGCAATGCACCTAACACACCTAAAACTCTTCAGTTTCTCCTAATAGACGAGTTCTCTGCTCAATGGTGGAGAAAGAGTTCAAAATGACAAACTAACAAGTATTAATATTTCTTTGCTTTCCAATGTTAAACCGGAGCTGACATGCTGGTGGAAAACCACAGATGAACGGATCTTCTGAGATTAATTCTTATTGTCCACAGCAGATTTACTAAACTACAACTCTTGAGACATGGTAATGTCAGGGTGTGAATTACAGGAGGGTTTGGGGGGGGGGGGGGTTGTTTAACCCTAATTAAGTCATAATTAATGCTTGATCCCCACTGAAGAAATCAAAACAAGATGTATATAGGGGTCAGGCCTTTAATACAGTGAGAAATTGTTTTCTCTGATCTGTATTTTAAATAAAAATATTAATAATTAAAATAAATGTACATTTGACCACCCCTATAATGGTGCAAACCATTGTGAGTGAATAATCACACTAATCAATCAGTCCATGTGGGGAAATATGCAGAAAACGGAAAATTCAGAGCCCCGATGGACATCAGAAGTGTTCACAAGTTACTTTTCTCATAAAATATGTGCTTGTTTCTAAATATCGCGTAAAAGTAAAGTAATATTAGACGCATAGTTTGTAGTTTGACCAACAGTAGCCTCTGAAATAGCTAATCAGATGTTACTGCAGGTCAAAATACACTAAATATCCTTTAAAACGCTGAAAACTTAAATACGTTTTATTCATGAATTAGATGTAATTTATTTAAAAACATACATTTGATTCACTGCAGCATGTATTAGACAATCTATCATCACAGAGTACGTTTAAGAAAAGCGAACCCCTTCCCCGATGCATAATTCAATACAATTTACTGTTTAATTCGCAGCCTGTATATAAATGCTCATCATGAGCCACTCGCAACTTCACCACTTCAGCATGCTTATCATTACAGTGCAGTCTGTGCATTTGGGAGATCATGCTAAATCAGCATTCACAGGCATCATTACAGAAAGCGCACCGCTAACTGCTCATTAACGGCACGCTCTTTCAGATTCACCACTGCAGATTTATACTCACATTTGGC